TTACAAGACGGAGTGTTTGTCGCAGTACTGTACACATTGAAAACCACAACACCTGTGTTACAATCTTTAGCTGTCACACTTGTACTTCCCTTTGTACTTAAGTGATCTGTTGCATGTATTGGGAATTCTTTTTGTAACATTAAAACACATGTGTTAAATAGGTACCCTATTGATGATTATGATTATTTGCCTTACAGTGTAAAATGCTTTTTTCGCATCTTTGAATAAGATATATTTTTTTTTTATTGGGTAAAGACTGATTGCCATTTTTAAAGTTTAGGATTGTACTTAAAAGCCCAAATGGCTGTTAGGACATTGTGAAATATGTATAGTATGTATTTCCTTTTTCTTACGCTTTTTAGTCTATGCCAAATACTATTAACCAGTGAGATTTGAAGTACTGGCTGCATATGATCTACCCCTTTTATTAGGAAAGAATCTATCAAGTGCTCCATTGTGTGCCAGATACCACCCCACTATCACAGCTGAGGTGGGGTAGAAGATGAATTGTTCTTCAAAAAAATATATATATGATAATAAAAGCAAAAAAAAAAAAGAAAATATATATATATCAAAAAGTGGACTTAATAGATCATTGAACTGGGAGGAAGATTGTTTTTTTTCTTTCTTTTATTTAACAAAAAAACATTTATATCCATGGAACCTAATTTTTGTTTAATTTAAAGTTATTTTTATTTTATATAAGTCAGGATTATGTAAATAACCATATCAGGAAGAGCAAGCTGCTGATAATGATGAGTAGGTGTTCCATAATTGTTGTAAATACTTGTTATAAGTGATGCACAGTGAGAGGGCTTGGAGAACCTTGCCGTGAGCCCAGCTATTGTGTGTAAAAAAAACCAAGAGTCCATCCACATCATTTATTTTTTCTCCTTTGTATTTCGTAGGTGATTTTAATCAGTACCAAACTTAATATTTATGTTCTGTTATTTAAATTGGTGATGGAGTATGAATTTGTTTTGTTATGGCAAATTTATGCCCAAGACGCCAAGGCAAGTTTTGACAAAGTTTCCTACAAATGTCAAAAAGTAAAACTGGCCTGTGAAGAGCCCGGGACAGCATTTACAATCCTAGGCTCTGTCATTTTATTTCATTGTTACACAGTAGGACCCATAGGCCCAAGAGGTATATATTTTGTGGAATGTGTCCTGTTGTATTAAATTTATTTAGTGTTTGTATATTTTATGTCATTTAGGAATGATGTATCTATATATTGTTTGATATAATGATTGAGTTATAAGAAAAAATTATTATGTATATAAAACTTCCAGGGCTGCTTTCAGAAAAAGTGTCAGGGAATGTCTTAATAGCACCCAGACAAAAAGTGATGGGGCAGTGGGAAGGAAGAAATTTATGACAGATTTTACATTCTTTCAAAAGGAATTTTATATGCTGAGTGAAATTAACCCCCAAAATACCCTTCCACTTAACTGCTGCACTTGTGAGATGAGGCTGGATTTAACCCCTGTGACTTTTTTTTTTTCTTTGGTGTGTGAAGTGGGTCTTCAAAATTGAATGGATCAAGAATGTAAATTGCTTTTATGTGGCACATGGTACATGTCTGCACTCCTGCGGAATAGTTCTTCTTGACCTCAAGATAGACATTGTAAATTAAAGTCACTGCAAACCACCTTGGGCAGCAGATGGGAACAGCAACCTTAAACTACTTTGGTGGCTCGTTTGCGGTTCCCCTGTCAGCCAAGACCGCAAGTCTTCACAACCAAATACCAGAAGTTGACAGGGTCTGCATCGCTCATTGAGATGAATGTTTGTCTCCTTTCCAATGGGTATTGTCTTGGGGCGTGTGGCACCCTTCCCCACTCCATTGCTAGACAGTAGGCCAGGTCCACTAAGCCATTCCATGTTCTCTGGTGATGTAAAATGAGCCCTCTGGCATCATGTCATATTGATAATTTGGGGAAATAAATTTATCAATGACTTTTTATATTGTTGTTTTCCTCTGGTCTGGTCAGTGGTTCAGGTATCCTCGATATGGAATGCCATACAGAAAATAAGAAATATGGAGTTTTATTTTGAGAATTATTTACTCAAATAGTTTTTCACATTTTTTGGTGGATTATTATTATTATTTTTTTTTTAATTGAATTTATTTTTTAAAATCTAATACTATTTCAAGGAAAAGGAATAGGAAAATTGAAATTGTTTCATGATAAATGAAATATAGGTTTTACAAATTTGGAAAATTGATACATTTACCACAAATTTTGGCTGAGAGCAATGAAGATGAAAAAATATATTCTAAAAGTATATTCATATGCATATGCACATGCAGTATATACAAACCTCTAGATCAGTGGTTCCCAACCTTTTTTTCTTTCTGCAGCCCCGACCCACATATAATCTTTCAGATTCAGGTATTGCTGGATATGAATTGTGTAAAGGGGCCAGTAGCCTATAGAACAAGAACACTTACGGAAAGATTACAATTTATTGTTATGGGAGAGATGATATGTAGGTACTGAAGGCGAGATGAAACTGTTTAATTTGATTTCATAATTTTCATATTGCACCATGCAACCCCAGAAAGTAACCTTGGCCCCCAGGTTGGGAACTCCAGATCTATTCTTTTTTTTTGCTTCACCCTCTCCCATGCTTGTTTTTATCATGGGGGCCATAGGAGATAGGGACTTGTCTTTAATGTTGGAGATCACCCCTGCCTTCGGCCTCATCCCTTTCCTCAACTACTTATGCATGTATCTTCTCCCCATTTCATTCCCCCCTCCTTGGTGTTAATTTTTACTCCAAACTGTCCTGGCGAGACTATATCTTTTCCATTAAAGAAAAAGCTCACCATAGCCTCGGAATCTTACTATCCCATACATCCTGGGGTTCAGAACGCAAAACTCTTCTCCATCTTCGAGTTACCTTGATCCTCTCCACTCTTGATTATGGATGTCACATATACTCTCCTGCATCTGACTCCCTTCTTGCTCATCTTAATATAATCTATCACTGCGGTCTTCTCTTAGCCCTAAAAGCGCCTTCTGCTCCTTTCTAGATTAGAGCCGGTATGATGAGGCAGGCACACCATCTGGCACAAGGTTAACCTTGTGCCAGTCATGAACGGCCCATGGGAGCCATGGGCATGGTATTCCCGTTTAGTTGCCAAGCTGTTACCTCATATGGGGACCCCTGAGGAGTGGACTAACCCCTACCTCTTTAACCTTTCATTGGTGCTATATAACCTTTAAAGTCTATCATGCTCATTTTGCTTTGTAACCATTAACCAATAACCATATCCTTCTTGTCTTCAATACCTTCTTCTGTCCTCTTCCTAAGGTGTAAGAGCCATGCTAAAAGGATTAAACTGACTTTGGATCAGTCGTTCATAGACTTTTTGGAGCCATGGGCATGGTATTCCCTTGGTTAATCGCCCAGCTCATACCTCTCATGAGAACCCTGAGGGCTAGAATATTTCAGGCTCACCATGACCAATGATCAAAGGTCATACAGTACTATGATAAAGGATTGTGGTAAAAAAGGGTAAAAATTAATTAATGTTTAGGACCAAATATGTTAGATGTCAAAGGTTGTAGAGCACTGTTGGTTAGTAAGGTAGTGAATGGGGGAAAGAGGGAAGAGTAAATAGAGTATGAAAGCTGTTCAAGGACCTACACAACGCCAGCCTTTCATCCTTTAAGCATGGCTCTCTTACCTTAGGAAGTAGACAGAAGGGGATAAAGAAGAGAAGGAAAAGAAAAGAGGGAGGAGACCATGCAAAATTAGTTAAGACAAAGACTGAGGTCCAAGGTAGGGGTGATCCCTACATTGGGACTCAGCCTCTATCTCTTAAGCCCGCCACAAAAACGAGCATGAGATTGAGGGAGTATTCTTACCCTTTTCACCACAATACGTTACAATAGTGCTAAGTGACCTTTAATGTTTAGCACAAATGTTATAACCATTTAGTTCATTTTCATTATCAACATTTTACACTTCTTTTGTACTGGCGAGACTAAAAATATTGCAAATAATGGATTCACTTCTGTTGATCACCATTTACTGTGCCATTGTGGTACCTTTTCCAGAGCTGACAATGTGGTAGACCACTTAGACAAAAAAATAATTCCCCTGACAACGTCTGTATCAATTTTCCTTGTAAGGTAACAGTTTAATATTTGCTTTAGTGAAAATTTTAATAAAAATACAAGTAATAAAAATTAAAGTTTTTGAGACAGCTACAAAAGACGCATTTTTTGCACTACTTTCTCTTTGTTAAAGAGGTGCATAGAAGACTAAAGAATCTTTTATTGCTGGTGATTCTGCAATGTAACAACACAAATTCAACCTATTTTGTTACCTTTGCAGTTATTTGGGAAAAAAGAAAAGAAAAGAAAAAAAAAAAGTTTTCTATAACCTGTTGACACCTGGGAGGCATGAAATACATGTTATATCCACTGTGCTTTTAGTTGATCAATTTTGTATACACATAGATAACTCCACAAAAACTTTAAGACACTGTGGAGTCAATTAATAATCCTACCCGACTTCACCTGTTTTCTCTCTTCCTTAATTTTTGGAACCTTTTCATTACATTTTTGATTACTATTTTTGTTGTCTATAACATTAGAATAATCACAAAGTCAATGACAATCACGACAACAATAACATTATTAGTTGAAAAAAGGAAAAGGAAAAAAATATTAAGAAATTCCCAAAATACAAAGAATGGGAAAATCAGGCAAGGTCAGTTAGGCCTATTACTTGGCTCTAGGGTGACTAAGCACTCATGAAGCCCTCACCGTAAACAAAATTCACTAAACAAAATGAAAGTGGACAATACATGTACCTAGTGTCAATCAATAAAGGAAATAATTCATTCTAGATTACAGTTTTCAAACTTTATTATATGTGGCGATAATAGAATATGGTCCCGTGTCAACATACTTTAACATATAAGAAGAAAAAAAAAAGGTTTTATGCCAGTGTGGTTTGGTATAAAGGTTAACAAAGTATTATTTTAAAAATTATATTCCCATTTGTTTATTGACAGTGAAAATGACAAATTTAGCTAAAACAAAATTTGCAAAGAGGAATCCTGAAAACTGCAGGATTGTAAACATTTTCAACTTGAATCTTTTACAAGAGCAAAACACAAATCCTTTAGTGATTAACATGAACTCGTGACCAATGCATGATCCATTATTGGAGACAAACATGAAGTGATAATCTAATGAAATGTTCAGAGAATGATTGGTGGAGTTGATAGCCAGAATTTTGCCGTGTTTTAGTCAAAGCCTTCTTTCTTCTCTCGGATGGCTTCTCTGAATCTTTCCTCAAGAAGGGAAAGTTCGGATATCAAGTCTGTGATGGCGTTCATGAAGGCGTCATGTGGGGTGTAACTGGCATCTGAAGTCTGGAGGAAAATGCAATTAATAGTGAACAGGGTGGAGTTTTGAAGAAGAGGATAAAAAAAGGGTAAAAATGAGAATGAATAATTTCACAAAGTAGAATGTATGATATCTCTTTATGGTTATAACTTAAAGAAAATCAAATAATTCCCATAAAGTTATAACCCAAAATGTTATTCACAAAGTTGCCTTGTGAAATTATTCATCATAATTCCTTCTTCCCATATCAATCAATAAAATCAAGTCTAAAAAATTACAAACACAGTCAAAAATTATAAAACACAAAATAAAATCACATCAAAAATATTTAAATAATAATCACACTATAAATAATCACATTAAAAATAGTTAAATAACAATCACACTATAATCAAATAATTAATATATAAATATCAAAGAGAAGCCTATAAATTTAACAGGGAAGAGACAGGTAACCTTATAAACAATTTTAGAACCTAAGCACATGACGACACAACACACATCCAATGGAGTCACAAGCAGTAAGACCATACCTCTAAAGTACAAAATATGACAAAAAAGAAGAGACAAACATGAACCAAAAGCAACTTCCAGTACCTGTATTCTGAGCAACACTTTATGCTCGAGAGGATGAGGGTTCTTATAGCCAGTGAAGATTACATTAGGGTCCTTCAGCAGCTGCATACGGATCATGTTGCCTAGGGTGTGATCCTCCTTGTTGATGGTGTAAATGGCAGCATTTGGAACCTGCAAGTTGCAGACAGTTAATTTCTGGTTACACAGATCTGTCATGACTTTGCTTATGAATAACAGTTCATAAATGTCTAAGAAATGTTTTATACCACACACAAATGTAATGAAAAGGTAATTAATCAATACAGATATAATAATGATAATAATGATGATGATGATAACAACAATAACAATAATAATAAAAGTAAAAAAAAAAATTAAATAATAATAATAAAAAAAAAAAATCATCTGTAGTTTAGTCAGATGGTAAAAATAAGCAGATCGACTGAGTTGGATGGTGGTGTGGGGCACAGACAATGATTGATGACAGTCAAGTGAATTCAGGCACAAGCAGAAATGATTGTATGGCACATAATAACCAAGCTGTATGGTTACATTGGCTATATGGAGGTTGCAATGGATTTTTTTTAGTTACATGTTTATTGTGTTTTGTGATGGTGCGCACTAATGAATGCTCCACTCTGAGTGAACCAAGGAGCAATTGAAAGGGCAATGTTTGAGCTTTCTTTCAAGATATGACAATGGCCAATAAGCATGCAAAAAAGTATGGAGTATTAATGGAAGATTATTTGAAAATCTTTAAACAAATCCTCTGACACAAATTTTGTCCAGTATTAAAAACTTTTTTTCTATAGAATGACTGTTGGATAATGGCGTGGGGCATAGACAAAGGTTGATGTGCAGACGAACATGTATCGGATTTTGAATATTAAGAACAACTATTTTTGGCTACCTTACGGTCAAATACAATAACCTGACACCAAAGATGCACAAAGCAAACCTATTCCATCCTGCTAAAATTCATGTAAATCTGTAAGACCATTTTCTATTACCCCAATAATGCTGGGTAAAAAAGTTTGGCAAATGGACAAGATTACGGGATTGTTGGAAAGCATAGACAGTTTCCTCCATTTCCCCAGCTTGTATTTTTATAAAAACTTAAAAAAGGTAAAAATTTTGAAGGTTTACCTTTACTTTAGGTACTATTGCCAATAAGTTTTACTATAGAAATGATGCTGCACTATTGGAGAAAAACAAAATCTGTACGATGGTGTCGGAAAGGTTGTGATCTGATGCCACTTTCTCCAAAACATTCATGGCATGTACATACATGCCACCTGGTGACAAGGGGTTAAGAACAACAACAAAAACCAAAAAGTTTGTGAATTCAGTAAAACTTTACAGTACAGATGCACACTACACATCATAAAACCTATTCAACAATCAAAGTTGCTGTGACTGGGCATACTGCATGAGGGAACCCCCAAGTTTTGGTTTTCACCTCTGTATGCAATGCAAGACAGAGCTGAAACTCGGGAGCACCAAGTAGACAGACTCTGAGCAGTACTTTCTGCAATATTTTCCTTTTATTTGTTGTGTTCCCATTTGTATCTGCAGATTAATTTTTATACCGATGAATACAACATTCTGTTCTCTACAAGTATATCTAATCTTCAATTTACCTTAGCTTAGTGTGTCTATATAGTAAAGATTAATCATGAATTATCTGGGGCAGTGCCCTAAATGATAGATTTCCCAGTAATTGATACCATCAATTTCAAAAGCAAAATACCTCAAAGATGATATTAATATAGATGTTTATAAAAGGTATTTTTCAAGTCCATTACCATATAATTACTGAAAAAATCAAGAAAACACCCTTCTGCAGCCACAGTTCCTTGTTTATGTCTACATTTTCTATGAAATTGTTTTCTATATGTCTCATTTTCTGTTAATCCATTTTCTATAACTGTGTTTTATATGGTATATCATTTCGACATTTACTGATTGTTATTGACATCGTGCAATCCCCCACCTCCCCCCCTTCCCCTCAAATATAGCTTCGTGAACTCGAATTTACCCCTTATCCCCCTCCCCCCTTTGGAACTTAAGGGGTTTTAAGCAGGGAAAGTTCTTGCCTGAAATCTCAAGCATTTTTCTTGTTAACTCAAGCATTTCGCTTGATTTCTCAAAACCCCTGTAGATGGCTAGACGCGTTTGCTAATTCAAGCGGTATACCGTCACCATGGTAACAGCGTCGGTCGTGTACCATACTGGTCATGATCCTTTGAATGCGGGCGTTGACCAGGAACTCGGCCCAATATCTTATCAGATAAATAATTTTTCACGGTATTCTGTAATTTTCTTAAAATTATATTTAAAGAAATTGAAATTAACTGAAAATAAAAGGAGATAATGGAGAGTATGGGAATAAAAAGTTTTACTTATAAATAATACATCATTATAACACAAACAATTTACCTCTTACTGAACTGTTACTCGTCTCTCTAAATTGAGAATATATCTGCTATTCTATGAAATAAAGAATATTTCAAGTGAAAAAAAGTCTGAGGAATTCTAGCAACATCCTTCTGTTGATATTGTATTCAATTTGTTATATTTAACCTCAAAAAATCAGATATATGGGAATGGGTAGGCCTATATTTTAATACAGGGATGTTCATTTGTTTTGATAACGCGTCAGAATGAAAGGGCTGCCAATCGGGAGTGTGTGGCATTGTTTTAGAGGCACTTTATATGAACATAGGAGAAAATATTGCGCTTTGTTAACATGTTTGGGTAGATTTACTCTGCCATCTTGCTGCGGCGCTAGCTTGTCAGTTGTTTTGAATTGCGCGCTCAAACTGTTACCAACCGCCAATGGAATAAACGCCACTCTCGATTTATACATTAGTTACCTCTTTCCGAGATTGTTGGTGGGAATACTTGTCTATTGCTTTTAAAACCCGAGTTTGTATATGGTGAGTGTTATTTTGACATTTCTATGTTCTCCAATGACTGTTATGATTTGTACTTTATAGAAAGACACTTACACATGTCTGGCATCACTGAACAGGGCCTGCCTGCCTTGGAAAGCGTT